GCCAGCCACATTCACGCACGCACGCACACACACACACACACACAGAGAGACAGACAGCCAGCCACATTCACGCACGCACGCACACACACACACACACACAGAGAGACAGACAGCCAGCCACATTCACGCACGCACGCACACACACACACACACACAGAGAGACAGACAGCCAGCCACATTCACACACGCACACACACACACACGGACGCACACACCTCTAACACATCCTCTCCCCCCACGCAGGTCGACGCAGATCAAGACCTACTCGTGGGACAACGCGCAGGTGATTCTCGTCGGCAACAAGTGCGACATGGAGGACGAGCGCGTGCTCTCGCACGACCGCGGCCGCCAGCTCGCCGACCAGCTTGGCGTCGAGTTCTTCGAGACGTCGGCGAAGGAGAACGTCAACGTGAAGCAGGTCTTCGAGCGACTCGTCGACATCATCTGCGACAAGATGTCGGAGAGCCTCGACACAGATCCGACGATTGTGAGCGCGGCGAAGGGAGCGCGCCTCACAGAGAACCCCGCCGCGCCGCAAAACAGCACCTGCCAGTGTTAGTCCGCAGCCGGCGGCGGCGGCGGCGGGGGCGGGGGACCCGCGATCGCTCGGTTTTCGCGCTTCGGCCCTCGCTGCACGGCGGCACTGGCGTCTTTGGAGAGAGGCGAGTGCTGCCGTGTGCCACGACTAGACAAGTGCTGCCATCTTTCAGTCAGGGGTGGCAGGTGCTGCCACCTGTCACGATTAGGAGAATGCTGCCACCTTTCAGTCAGGACTAGACGAGTGCTGCCATCTGTCACGACTAGTAGAGTGCTGCCATCTATCACGTTTAGGTGGGCGCTCTCTCTCACTCGTGTCTTCAGAAGTGCCTGTTTGGCGCACGCTCCCCAACCAAGAGCTGGTCGAGGGAGGTCCGTTCTGGGTGGAAGTGACATTCTCATCAGCTCTGGATTGACTTCTTCATTTTCGAATCTACAAATCATGTCTGTTGAATGGGTTTATTCCTGAGGCTCCTTAACGTTGGACCGAAAAGAACTCGCCGTGTCTTTCTCCTGGCGGAGAGTCTACCAAATACAGTGGTAAAACGTGCGCTAATACAAAAGCCGCAGTTCATCCCAAGTATGTAAGAAGACAGGTGAATGCATCACTGCTTCTGTCCCTCCTCGGTTTTTTTAGGGTGTTCCCCATCATTACTTAGTTACACCGAAGGTTGTTGCCATGGACCTCTTGTACGATGTGTATTCTCACAAGCCCGTTTCCATGGCTACAGTGATATGTGCAGTGTTTTGTCACATTTGTACAATCGACTGCCAAAGGTGATTCAGACTTGTTCGGAAGACAAGCGAATACCAAATTTACGATAGTAACGAAGTATTCATTTAACGGTTAGCCTTAGTGGAAGGATATAGTAGTGTTTGTGCATGATTGCACAACCAAAGAATGGTAACCAAACAGTTGATTGAAAATTGTAGAATAGAGGTTTATTCTGCAGCATTGTGGTGTGAACCTCGTATATATATGACTGAAAGTGGCAATAGTATTTAGACTTTGGTATTTAGTTCTCATGTTGTAAGGTGCACGTTACACCAGGCATTCTATCATTCGATTAGCTACATCTTAATTTGGGATTGTGTGAATTTGCCTGTTGTTAGGCAAGAACCAAGGTCAGTGAAGAAATTCAAAAGCATCTGGAATGAATTATTTAGCATGGAATATGACCCTATTCAGAAACTTTCCATCGCAGGAAATGATACCACATTTTTCATTGCCACAGTGCGTCCATGGTATAACGTAGTGATAAGTGAACGAGCATTTCGTAAGATTCATGCTCACTATAGCCTAGTTATAAAACACATAGTTCATAGACTTTTGAAACTAGGTTACTTGCCTGTAGGCTTTTATACCAAGAGGCAGATTTTTAAAGGTATTGTGCATGTGCCTAGATAAGTCAGCCACAGCCATATAGTTTGAAGGCACTTGTATGCGCTCACCCTTGACTGGTTTGAGAAACAGTTAGAATATGTAGACGGTCAACATACTAATGACTTATAGTATGTCTTTAGTATGCCGTGGAAGTTTTGCTGTTATATAGAGTACGTGCTGTTACGAACGAGGACGCGCTAGGAACTTAGCAGTAGAAATGCGTGAGCAATTGTGTGGACACATTTGCACATGTTAATCGTTATTGTACGACAATACCAAAAAAATGTATAGTGGCACTGCCATGACGTCGCTCGTCGTGGTGTGTTGGTTTTCTAGAAGTACGGTGGTCCGTCCCCGTTTTATCGGGCCTCGGTTAAACGGGCGCAAGCGTTAAACAACACATGTATTTGTACAACAATCCTTACGCGCTTTGTGTGTGTTTCCCACTTAATTTCGGGGGACATTGTCATGGCTCTTCGGACAAAGCGCGGACCACTGTATTGAAATTAAGACCGAATAGATGCATCTACTAAGCATATATATATATATATATATATATATATAACGTTGCTGTCACATTGATTTGTCAAATTTTTATTCTAGAATTTACCGTCTCGCACGAGATTTTTTCTTGGTTATTTTGACGGACTGTGTGCTCGGGTTCCCATATCGCGTGCTAAATGTTGTTTAGTGGCGTCAGTGCAGCGGTAATATGAACGTTTGAAAACGTAGCACAAGATAGCTATCATGACCCCATATTTGCTGGACCCACTGTGTACCTACCTATTCAGGTAACATATGTACTTGTCCAGTCTTTATTACCCGTAAGTTTAAAGCTGTACACTCGTGCTTTATTTTCAACTAGTTTGTTATTCTTGTCAGGGATGCCAACACTAGCAGGGTTCGTTTTATTATTTATTTTAGATTCTAGTGTGGAATTAATATATATCTTGTGCGCGTGGACATGGTTTTAGAGGCCGCGTCTTGTTTGCTATGAATGTGTGAAGTCACGACCAGAAGTGGTAACGATATAGTGGCCCCACCTAGTGTCAGGTTTCTATGAAATTCTATTCCGAATTTGCTTGCGTCCGGCATGTATGTGCGGACGGTGCACACACTATTTCGACGCTAGCAGCTCTTGTGGATAATGTTTTCCTGTTTGTAATAGCTGAATTGAGTGCAGAACCGCTAATAACGTACCCAGATTATTCGCCAGATATGGGTGACACATTAGGCTAGGTCTATAACTACCCATTATCCTTAACAAACAAACAAACTAACTAACTAACTAACTACTCGTGCACAAGTCTGCTCTGTGTCTGTTACAATCCCGTTACAGGATCTGACTAAATATAAAGACACGATATATGTAAGATACATATATGTGCATCAGTGTGTCACACACATACTGCCAACCAACTATTCGTCTAATGCAGCTATTGGAGGTGTTAATGTTAACACGCTCGAGACAGTCCTCCGCTGAGAGAATGGGAGCATTACAGTCATTCCCAGATATTTGAATCCAAAGTAACATTCCAAAGAATATTTATGTATAATTTGCGCGTATTTAATTTGAGTCGACGAATTGTCAAACGAGTCATCGTCGGCCGATATTTTACAGAGTTCTATTTATTTTGGACGGATGCGAGTCACAGAGTGTTTGCGTGTTTAATTTCCATGCGGCTCTGTGCTCTCTACTGCATCTCATAGGTAGCATTGATGTACTTGATGCTGTGTTCGAACGACACCAGGCCATAAATCGATTGTTGCAATAAAGGTATACACGTAGTGAAAACTGTTTAATATCGACTAAAATTCTTGTCGGGTGAAAACCCATGTGGTGTTGTTTTCTCTTGTTGTGCGATCGCTGAAATCTAAGATTCGGTGATGTGTGAAGCGATAATACAGTTCACGATATTCCAAATTGCACTTCTTGACAATATTTGTGCTTTCCCGCGGCCTACCATATCCGTTGCCAGGCGTTTATCACTATGTTTCATTAAACGCGATCCGATTTCGTATTTTCCTATAATACCACTGTTACCCCGTATATATATATATATATATATATATATATATAAGTAAAGTCACACACGAACACCCGTGTAGATAAAAACAAAGTCAAAGTATAGAATAAGGGCGTTTAAAATTTAATTGACAAGCTTTCGAGATTACATCTCTTCATCAGTTCAGCAGACATTGGAATACGGTGTTATTATAGCTCCAGGCCTCCAGTAATGGGGGCATGAATGAATCACCTTGGACGTAAAACATGTTGTCGGAATGCTGGGACAAACTAATGAATCATATATTGACTTTCCTCCTGTATAACACCCTACATATAGTTAGCTGAGATATAGCGTTGTGATCACACTCGTTCGTGTGCTCCACGCAGACCCAGACCTACAGAAACAGACCATGTGCGTGACCTCTTCTGTTGTGTCCTCCCCCTCTTCCATTTCCTCCTCGTCCTTCTTGGTATCCTCTCTTTTTCCATTGCCCTTCAACCTATTTCTCTGCCGACCAGAGAAACATACCGCCCCTTGCGGAAAAAAACGTGAATAAAATAACATCGCCAAGACGTCGGGACATCCGGGGAGAACCGGATGGATAAAAACGCTGAGAAAAAAACTGACAACCGTAACAGCAATGATTGATACCAGAACGAAACAAACTTTTCTCTCTCTGTCTCTCTCTTTCACACACACACACACACACACACGCGCCCTCTTTTTTCCCCTCCCCCTCTCGTGCGCTCTCTCTCTCTTTCTCGCTCCAATTCGCTCTCTCAATTTCTCTCTTTCTCTCTCGCGCGCGCTTTCTCTCCCTCTCTCTTCATTTCTCTCTCTCTCTCGCCATCTCACCCTCCTTCCCTCCTTTCTTCCGTCCCACTTTTCCTGGCTCCTTTCTTCCGTCCCACTCTTCCTCCTTCCCTCACTCTCTCTCTCTCTCTCTCTCTCTCTCTCTCTCTCTCTCTCTCTCTCTCTCTCTCTCTCTCTCTCTCT